TGTCCAATGAAATTCCATCTTGCTTGCAAAATTTTACTCTTATGGCACAAGAGCACATCAACTTAAGTAAGAGCTATCATTATTACACCATCAGTACAACTTGGTATTATAATATCTTTGATAGTTTGGAATTCTTTATAACATTGATGTGGAAAGGTGAGGATTACATGTTTATGAGGCCAAGATTCCTTCTTAAAAGCATTGATCTCTTTAGCAATGCTCTCTATCAAGAAAAATACTTAAATACCATGATAACTTGTGTTTTTGTTGGGATTGGTTTCCTTGAATTTGTCACGTAACAAATTGAGTGGAAAAATACCCAAGGAGATTGGAAATCTAAAATCACTTAAATTTCTTGATTTTTCAAAAATTAATTTATCAGGGTCAACTCCTCCAAGTCTTGCTCATAGTAATCGCCTCATTGTGTTAGATTTGTCAAACAATACTTTTCATGAAAAAATCTCAAAAGGAACGCAGTTACAAAGTTTTGATGCCTCATGTTATTAAGGAAATTCTGATCTTTGTGGATTGCTGCTTAGCAAAAAGTGCCCAGAAGATAAATCATCTACATATCAAGAAGATAATCATAATGAAGAAGATGATTCACTATTCTCTCAAGAATTATATTTGAGCATGGGATTAGGATTTTTTGTTGGAATTTGGACGTTTGTAGGACCCATGCTCTTCAACCGTACTTGGAGACAAACCTATTGTAGGTTTCTAAGTAAAGTGACAAACAGAGTCCATGCCATGATGGCAATTTATGTGGCTAGGTACCTTACGAGGAGAGACTAGTCAGAAGATAACGTTTAATTTCTCTTGCTCTTTTTTAATTCATTATGTTCTTATTTATAAATTACCACGTGACAATAAAATAGTAAGAGTCAGAGTCAATGTAGACAAACATTTTGACTAGCAATAAAGTCCACATAAAAATCTCAATTCGTAGTTGTATAAATATTTTTTGAGTATGATATTTTAGGCTCTTGACTAAATAATTATGGGAAAACTAAGATAACAACAATCAAGTAATCATATTTATGGAATTCTCTTAACATGCTACTCTGTTTCTTGCAGGATCTGTTACTCCTTCCATTTGGCGTTAGGATGAACTGATGTTCCCAGAAATGAGGGTTTGTTGGACAAATTTATGTTATGCTTTGAAATATACTATGTCAGATCATTTTTACTGCAAACTAAATATTATATTTAGAAACAGAGGTTGTACCTTGCTTACAATCACATTCATTACGAAAATTTCATATCAAATTGTGTACTAACAGGGAATAGATAGCTCGATGCTAGTGGTATGGTTGCCCTATTCCCTGTGCTAAACTTGTTAGACAGCCTTACATTTAGTTTTAGCAAAATTAAAAGTGGTCGAGACGTACAAACCTAGTTAATAGTTTTAGTAATATGATCTCCATATATTTAGGGTGCGTTTGATATTTAAAAAGAAAAAAAGAAATGACAGAAAAAATTTTAATTAGCTCAATTTTTTTTAAAAAAAAATGGGGTTAAAAGCTTTTAATTAATTCTTATTACTGTTTTTATATTACATCTTTTCTTTATTAAAACTTTAAAACCCCAATTTTTTCATGTTTTAAATCTTAAAATTTTTCCCCCTCACCTTCACTCCATTTCCTTCATACCAAACAAGCCTTTAATAGTGCTTTGTACATTTTGATAATTAATTCTCACTATAATAAAATTCCTTCCTAAGTGATTGGGATAAATAATCGATAGTAAAATTCCCTTAAACGTAGGATATTTGATCCGAATTTGAATAAAAAAGGAATTAGTTCGGGTGCTCATTAAGATGATTGTTTTTTTTTTTTTGGTGAAGCATTAAGATGATTGTTATTTCTATGATTTTTCTCTCTCCCTCATTTATTATTTATTAAATCTGAGAATAAACAGACAGAATCTTGCATAGTAAAGATCATAATAGTCATAAAAAAAATGATATTTTTGTAAAATAATTAATTGTCTCAAGAAATGATGTTTTAATGAAGTTCTTTAAGGATATTTTCCAGAAATAAATAACCATCACTATAAATGTACATAACTTCATGAAGCCGTTCTAAGTTTTAGAAAGTAGTTTTTTTTGTGATAAAATTAGTTTGATTTTTCTAAATATATTTCGTTTATAACTTTATATAACTGAAAAAATAGCTAAAAGGTTAAAAAAAAAAAGGTTTTAAAAAAAGAAGAATAAGTTTGACACTAATACAACGCACAACGGTAAGAGAGTTCGATGAAATTTGTGCCTAAATACGTATTTTTTATTTCAAGTTTTTAGGTATAAATATTTTTTATTCGATACAATTCTTACTGTTTATTTTGGCTTTTTTACCAATATACGATAAACAGTAAAATTATATACCAAAATCCTGTACTTTTGAAACTATTTACTAATATGCTGCACTTAAAATCGTTCTTCGCAAGAACGATTTTAAAATTACACACAAGTTGTTCTTGGTGTGAACAATTTCAGAAATCATTCACGCCAAGAACGATTTTACTTTTTCCTGTTCACTCTTTCACATACGAATCTTTGCCAATTTTACATGCAAAAATAAGAATCTTTGACAATGCTCCCATGAGGCTACAACATCTATATTGGATTAAAATTTGAAAATCCCAATTTTTTTAATAGAGCTTGATGAAATTTTTCTGTCATTTCCTTTTCTTTTTATTTTTCTCATACCAAACAATACGTAACAAAAAAAATTATGCTTTAATTGTAAATTTTTAATTGTAGTAATTAAGTTGTAGGACTAAATTATTATTATTATTATTTTGGTCACAGGCATAAAAGGTCCATGCCCATTACTTGATTTCTCGTCAAACAGAACAAATGCCACACAACTGGCTTTTTTTACCAAAATACTATAAAAAGTAGAATTATATATTAATATGTTGCACTTTTAAAAGTATTTACTAATATGTTACACTTAAAATCGTTCTTCAAGTGAATAATTTTTAAAGTCATTTATCTGCTAAACGATTTCTTCATTTAACAAATGTTTACACCAAGAACGATTTCTAAAATCGTTCATGTCAAGAACAATTTTGTGTAATTTTTAAGCACAAATAACGCCACACAAGCTTTCATGCACGTCAAGGATAGATTATGAAGAAATCGTTCAGTAGATAAATGACTTTAAAAATTATTCACCTGAAGAACGATTTTAAGTGTAGCATATTAGTAAATACTTGTAAAAGTGCAGCATATTAGTATATAATTTTACTTTTTGTAGTATTTTGGTAAAAAAGCGTGTGGCATTTGTTCGGTTTGACGAGAAATCAAGTACTAGGTATAGACCTTTTATGCCTGTGACCAAAATAATAATAATAATAATTTAGTCCTACAATTTAATTGCTACAATTAAAAATTTACAATCAAAGCATATTTTTTTTTTTGTTACGTATTGTTTGGTATGAAAAAAATAAAAAGAAGAGGAAATAACACAAAATTTCATCAAGCTCTATTTAAAAAATTTTAAAAATTGAGATTTTTAAATTTTAATCCAATATAGGCGTTGTAGCCTCATGGGAGTATTGTCAAGTATTCTTATTTTTACATGTAAAATTGGCAGAGATTCGTATGTGAGAGAGTGAACAAGAAAAAGTAAAATCTTTCTTGGCATGAACGATTTCAGAAATCGTTCATGCCAAGAACGACTTGTGTGTAATTTTAAAATCGTTCTTGTCAAGAACGATTTTAAGTGCAGTATATTGGTAAATAGTTTTAAAAGTGCAGTATTTTGGTATACAATTTTACTGTTTATCGTATATTGGTAAAAAAGCCGTTTATTTTTTTCTTTGATGTTTATGGAAAAAGAAGCTTCTTGGCCGACTTTAAAACCTATTGGTTATTAAACCTATCTCTATTTATATGGTCTAAGGGGATGTTTGGGTAATCCGAAAATTATTTTTCAAAAGCATTTTTTTATAAATCAAAACAAATTTCTTCATATATTCATTTCGCACACCACAAAAATACTGTTAAAATCATAATTTTATTTTTATCCAAATAACCTCTTAAGATTATGCGCCCCATTCATGTCACCATTATGCAAGTGGAAATAGGATTAGGATCGTGCGGGGAATCAGGTCTTGTGCATCGGTGATTACTGACAACTTACCAATAAAATAACTTTTTATAAATTTTATATTTGGTTTTTTTTATTACATATCTAATATATTTTTTATTGAATGTATTAGACAGATTGGTGTTGATCATGCTTAATGATTTTTGTATACATAGTTTACGATATTTTATTTTATGTTTTTTCTATACTGTATTTTAATATTATTCAATAACTTTTTAAATAAGTTTTACTGTATCAAAAACATAAAGGTATGGAGTAATTAAAATAGCTTATATCATTGTTGGATACACTTTAGGACAGAGAGAGAGAAGTTAGAGAGAGAAAGAGCGTTCTGTTTTCGTGAGTTCCATGCATTCGAGTGAAGATCCTCCCAAAACACAACCCCCTGATCGTCCAATGGAAGACCAGGGGCTAGTGGAAGGGAGTCAGAGTAACTTTCCAAGCCTTACTGAGAAAGGGGAAACTAGGGACCGATTGCCGCTACCTTCGAAGAAGCAAGAGATAGATAATGGGGAAAGAGACAAGGTTCAAAGAAAGGAGGGAATGTTTACAGGTGAAAGTTCAATGCTCCCAAGGGAAGAGGAATGGCTGATTGCAGAAGAAAATAGACCTGTTAAAGTACAACAGACACTTCTAACATATAGAGAAGTGCTCAGACCAAGAGAAAACAAAGATATTGACCAGGAAGGAAGGAACCAGAAAAGTGAAGAATGGGATGGGAACCTGATTTTTGGGGACCCAAAAGACCTGGCAGAAGGAGTCACAGTTACTGAGACTGACCGAGGTGTGAATATTGAATTCTCAGAGGAGGAAAAAAGAAGACTTGAAAAGCACTAGCAACAATCACTGATAGTCAAGCAACTGGGGGGAACGACGGGTTTCATGCAACTTAGGAGGAAGGTTCAGCTCATGTGGGGCAAGGTTGGAGCTGTAGATTTATCTGTGATTGGAAATGGATATATGATCGCCACATTTCAAGAAAGAGAGGACTACTTCTTCGCTCTAGAAGGAGGGCCATGGATGGTGCAGAATCATTACCTCACAGTCCAAATGTGGAAGAGAAACTTCAACCCCTGGAATGAAAAAATCCAAAAGGTTGCCATTTGGGTCAGACTACCAGGATTGCCAGGGGATTACTATGATAGAAAGTTCTTCTACAATCTGGGAAATAAAATCGGCACTACTATTAAAGTGGATGAAATGACCCTCACCAAAGCAAGAACTATGTACGCAAGAATGTGTGTGGAAGTTGACCTGAATGCCCCACTTCTACCGGCTTACTCGGTGGATGGAAACAACCTCAAAATTGAGTATGAGGGGTTGCAACTTATTTGTTTTAAGTGTGGACGGTTTGGGCATGATGCTGAACACTGCCCGTTGAAGATGCAACAAGGGTTGAAGGAACGTGAGAGAGAAGAGGCAGAAACCAGGCCGGAAACAGGAAATGATCACCGGAAAGGAAGTGTGGAAGGAGGGACGGCAAAGAAATACGGTGAGTGGATGGTGGCACAGGAACCGAGACGTGGGAGACGTGCGGGGAACCGAGAAGGGAGGGTTGGAGAAGCACTGAAGAAAACTGTCAGACCTGAAAGGAAGCTAGCTACATCATCAAGGTTTGCAGTACTAGCTGCAGGAGAAGCGGTAGAAGAGCCGAAAGAAATGGAGGTGTCAGAAAGAAGACCTCTGAGGGAAATCTCAACCAATCAAGGGAAGAAAGAAGGCGGCCAAGCTATCTCTGACAGACTGAAAAGACAGAATGGTGGTAGAAGGGAACGTTCAAGGTCGACAGAGGGTAGGTTGAAAACTAAGACGGGAAAGGAGAAAGGGAAGGAAACCAAAAAGCAAGGTACAGATGAGAGTTCAAGGGGAAATATAAAAGAGAAAGAAACAGAGGCAAGCCAGATGGGTATAGAAGGGAACACCGGGGGATCCAATAGTGTAAAGGTACAGGAGAAAAAACTGGGTCGAAAAGGGGCTTCTGAATATGGGCTGGCAACGACTCCAAAGACAACAAGAGATGGTACTGTTCGTGACCCATGCACTGACTTAACTGGACCGGATTGTGGGCCTAAAGAGAAACAGGATGGAATGATGGTTGAGGAAACAATGAACAACTTTTTAAATAGCCTACCCACAGATGAGGAAGAAATACGGACCAGTGAGGAAAATAAACCACCAGACCTAGTGGACAATCCAGAATTGGAGGGCCTACCTGCTGTGGAAAGGATGATGGGGGAGCAAGAACAAGAGGAGTTGCTTTATGAAATGATTCAAGAGGGCCAGGAAGGGCATCCAGAGATCAACCAGGTAACTCAATAGAGTTTGCCAGTGTGCTATGGAACTCCTTAACTTATCTTTAATGATTATAGTATGGAATGCAAGAGGGGCAGCCGGAAGGGAGTTCGGTAATGCCGTCAAGGAATTGAAAAGGAGATATAAACCAAGGTTGTTGGTGTTAGTTGAGACACGATGTAGTGGGGAGAATGCACATAAGGTTATAAGAAGGTTGAATTTCAATCATCATGAAATAGTAGAGGCTACGGGTATGTCTGGAGGTATTTGGATCTTATGGGATAATGATGAGATAAGTTTCAGAAGGATCATGACTCACAAACAACTCCTTCATGGAGAATTACTTGGAGTCGGACCCTACCCTTGGATGTTCACAGCCGTCTATGCAAGCCCTAGAGAAAGAGAAAGAAGAGATTTGTGGGAGGAACTACATCAAATCTCAATGACTACAAAGTCACCCTGGATGTTAGCAGGGGATTTCAACGATATCATGGGGGAAGAAGAGCAACGGGGGGGAGGAAGGATAAATGAAGGAAAATGTAGAAGATTTTGCAACAACATTAGGCAGTGCAACCTGATTGATTTAGGATCAGAGGGCCCCAAATACACTTGGAAGGGACCCATGACCAGCCATGCATCACGGCTGTACAGAAGATTAGACCGAGCTCTATGTAATGTTGACTGGAGACACCTGTTTGGAGAAGCTGTCGTGAAGGTGGGCCCTCGTGTACAATCAGATCACCACCCCTTACTTATTACTCTTTTTGGAGAACAGGGACAGAGAAGAAATCGACCTTTCCGCTTCGAAGCTGCATGGTTAATGCATGAAAATTTTAAAGAAATGCTGAAGGATAAATGGAGAGGGCAGGAAGAAATCTGGGAAGAGTTAAATGATCTAGAACAAGAACTTTTGCACTGGAATGAATTTACTTTTGGTCACATCACAAGGAAGAAAAAGGAACTATTGAAGAGAATTGCAGGGATTCAGAGAAGCAACCAACAAAGTTATAACCCGTACCTTAAGGAACTGGAACTAGAACTACAAGAAGAGTTAAATGAAGTACTGGCACAGGAGGAAGTGTTATGGTTTCAAAAAGCAAGGACCTCATGGCTAAGGGATGGGGATAGAAACACTTCCTTCTACCATACAAAAACAAAGATCAGAAGAAGAAGAAATAGAGTGACCATGCTTAAGGATGAAGACAACAATTGGATAGAAGGAAAAGAGGAGGTGGGGAGACTGGTTAATAGATTTTTCAAGAACCTATTCACGGAAGAAGAGATACAACGAGAGTGGTGTGTGACAAGACATACTTGGACAAATGTTTCCAATGATGACTGGACGGAAATTGGAACAGAAATCAGCAATGAGGAAATTCATAGAGCCATGTCTTCAATAGGAGCACTCAAGGCCCCAGGAGAAGATGGCTACCCGGCGGCTTTTTTCCAGAAAAATTGGGAGATTGTGGGAGAAAGTGTTTGTAGGGCAGTGAGAACTCTTTGGAATCAACCAGAGAAGATCAAAGAAGTGAACAAAACGCTCATAACCATCATTCCTAAAGTAGACAAGCCAGAGCGGGTTAACCAGTTGAGACCGATTTCACTATGTAATGTTATCTACAAATGTGTCTCAAAGATAATAGTACAGAGATTAAAGAGTATTATGCCAAAAGTTGTGTCACCGTTCCAAGTGAGCTTTGTGCCAGGACGTAATATACATGATAATATTATCATAGTACAGGAGCTGATTCACTCAATGAAGAGGAAGAGAGGAAAAAAAGGATTCATGGCAATAAAAGTTGACCTAGAAAAGGCCTATGATAGAATCAACTGGAAGTTCATGGAAAGAGTGCTGAAGGAACTGAAGTGCCCAGAGGAGATGACCGAAAGGATCATGTGCTGCATAGAAACAACTTCTACTAAAATCTTATGGCATGGAGAGAAACTGGAGGGGTTCAAAACTTCTAGAGGATTGAGGCAAGGAGACCCTATTTCCCCCTATCTATTTGTGCTCGGAATGGAGAAACTCACACACCTCAAATTCCATAACAGTGAGTTTCAAATTCCAAGAGAGGCAGGAACCGTCATCAGGAAATATCTAAGAATATTTCAGGAGAAGTGGAATGGAGAAAAACTAGAAAGAGAGCAGAATGAACCTCAAATTGTTAAGTGGTCTCCACCGTTACATGGGTGGTGCAAAGTAAATACAGACGGATGGGTCAAGAGGAATGGGCAAGCAGGATGTGGAGGAATTATTAGAGGAGATTGTGGAGAATGGTTAGCAGGATTCACGAGGAAGCTACAAGGGTGCGATGTTAAAACTGCAGAGACGTGGGGGATATATGAGGGATTGAAACTATGTAAGGAGATGGGCTTTGAACGGGTGGTAGTGGAGAGCGATGCGGCCACGGTCATAGAGGAGCTCAATACGGGAGCAAGAATTTCGGGGTGCTATATCCTCTCTCGAAAAATCGATGAGATGAAGAAAGATTGGAATATTTGCTGGCAGCATATTTACCGTGAAGGAAATAGATGCGCTGACAGACTAGCAAGAATGAGTCTAAACCAGAAGGAACAGAGAAGAGTCTGGAATAGTCCACCGCCTGAACTGATTGGACTAATGTGTGAAGACTTAGAAGGAAATGGTATCCGGAGAATAGGCTAATCGTTACTTTCTTGTTTGGGCTTAGCCCCTGTATTTCACCCAAAAAAAAAATAGCTTAAAAGAGCGGTGAGAAAAGAAAAAAAGTGTCAGAGTTGTAGCCCAGCTCACCTCGAGCATCTTTCTTGGGATTTTATTAAGTGTGAAGTTGAGAATTCATCAGGCCAAAAAAACAAAGTTGTGATTGTGAACTGTTATAAGAAATATGATGAATGCATGAGTTATGGAAAAAAAAAATGCGTGTTAAAAAAATCAGGTAAAGGCATGCTAGTTATTTCCATTTCCCCCTTTATGACTTATTTCTGTTCATGGCCTTTTCATGTTATTTTGTGCACCTGGTTTTTTAACTCTTTTATTTACTCATTTTGTCCGTATCTTATATTTATCTATTTGGATATTTTATCATTATTTCTAACCTACTAAATTAACTATCACCAGAGTTGATGCGATCATTGTTCTTTATGTTTATTATGTATAGTATTTAATTAATTTGAAACGATCTTTTTTTACTACTAGTTTCAGTTACTTTCGCTCGTTTCAATTTATTTTTCATTTAAATTTGGCTACTTTTGTACGTTATTGTGATGGAAAAATATCTTAATTTTTAAATGTAGACAGAGAAGGTTGCTCTGAAATAAATCTTACTCATTAATCATCCAAACGTACTTTTCTCAGACATGGAGGCAAAGTAGAACCACAGAGTGATTGTCTTTCCATGCTGTCCTTTTTCTTTTAATGCTCATGTCTCCAAAGCAAAAAAACAACAAGATTATTTTTTTCATCTCATTTTTTATTAAAGAGAGGAGAATATATAAAAATTGATTATATATAAATCTAACTAAATATATCCCAAAATCTATGCTTATTTAAATATAAAATATGTATTAATAATTGTGAAGTTTGACCCATGGACAGGATAATGTATTTTGCCTTGTTTTGAGGGAGATGTGGACATTGCGGGGCCAAAACAACGAAGACTTTAGTTGACTTGTAATTTTGTAATTTAATACCCATGGAATTTATTTTCAAATAATTTTGAGTAAAATACTCTAATATCCTTCTATTTTATTTAAATTATAAAAATCTTCTCTTTATTTAAAAAATGTATATAAGTCTCCTTTGAAATTAAAATACATGTTACAAAAATCTTTTTTTGTATATTTAAGATTTTATTTTCATCCATCTAACTGTTAAATAACTATTAAATTTGACTTTTAAACTTTTATTTTGACTAAACTACCACTCATTGTCAGAAAAGTTATGTGTCAAAAAAATAATTTGTGATACAAAAAAAAACAATTTTAATACATGCATTTTCAAATTCTTAATATGCAATAAAATTTATTAATTTTGATTATATTGTTAAATTTTATAATTTTGATTTTCCATTGCATAATGAAATATATTTATTTAGATTTTTTTAAATGGCTAGAAAATATATTAAATAAATATTTTTTCATTGTATAATATAAATTGTTTAAGTTCGACAGACTATATAAATCATTTAAATTTAAAATTTAAAATTTTAAAATAAAAATTTTGTTGGAAAAATTTATAACGTATTTAATCTATTATATATCTATTTAAAGAATTAATTGAACTTTCATTCAAGGTTTTTATGTCTACATTAAATAAATGAATTAATATTCCATCCCAATATGATAAAAACACTAAAAAAATAATTATTTACAAAAATAAAAAATAAAATTAAGGTAAAAAATTTTAGTCAAAATTTAGGGATTTAGGGTTACAAAGGGTAAATTGTTAAATAAAAAGTATCTTAATATAAATTTTAATTAAAAAAGTATCTTTCTAAAATATTCTTATTGGAGTTAATGTTTGGACTTAAGTATATGTTTTCAAAATAAAAAAAAATTGGTATAATTAGAACAAAATGTAAGGAAGATCAGGATATTTTACTCAATAATTTTCCCCATTCATTTTCTCTTGACAACAAAAGTCAAAGTCTCCCCTTTGAAACTAAAGGGATCAACGCTCCTGTGGAAAATTTGCTGCGTAATGATAACTACGTTGTTTTTTCCTCCACCAACCCAATCTGTTTTTCTTCATTTTCTAATATGGTTCTCATAATAATAATAAGTTTAGTCAATAAATTAATAAAGATATTTTAATAAATTAAAAAAGCATCTATTTATCACAAATAACTAAATTAATTAGTTTTTTTAACTTACTCAAATTAATTATTTAATTATTTCTTATATTAAGGATCGAAGGTAGTATAAAATATGTATTAATAATTGTGAAGCTTGACCTATGGACCGGAATATATTTTGCCTTGTTGAGGGAGATCTGGACATTGTGGGATCAAAACGAGAAAGGCTTTAGTTGACTCGTAACTCTATAA